AAGTCACCATAACCATAGCCTAAGCCAGCATTGCCATAGCCCAGGACTCCACAGTAGCTGCCTTAGTAACACATGGTGTCAGAAGTAGACTGCTCAGAGAAAGAAGTAGAATCCCTCAGCCTGGACGTCATCATCTTCCCAGGACCATTTATACAGCTGAGTGATTGGTGGGGAAAACCACAGGTATTAGAATGTCATCCTTGTTTCCACTTTGCTTCCAGAAACATCAGTGGGCCCTGGTTTACTGGGCAGACAAAGATGCGTAACTTTAGATAATTGTGTTCATAGGCCAGAATCCCATGGTCAAATCATGGGACTATAACATAAATTTCTGGTACTGTTGTCAAGACTCTGCCTCATTCTGTATTTATTTTATTTAATACTTAATGAAACTCTTTTGTGCTTCTACACCAATCATTGAAAGAGTTCTTTCTCTTTTTATATCTGTTGGGTTTGTGATACTCCACAGGTAAAAGATCTTTGTATTTTATTTTCTTTTGTTTGCTTTGTTGTTGTACAGTAATTCTATCTGCAAGAATGTATTTCCCACATCTACCTAATAAAGAATGATCTGGTTATTGATTGTTGTTGTTATAATCTGCTGCTTGGCCTGTCACCTGGATACCCTGCCCCTTTAAGAGACTAGCCCTGCCCACTCCCAATCTCCCTCTCCACTGCCAAGGCAAGTGAATCTCCTGCCTCCTCTCCATCCCACTGTCTGCCTGACCAAACAGATACAAAAGCAAAAAACCCTCAGAAATTGAATTGTATTGTTTAATCATCTAATTATTTAATAATATAAATGTTTTATACAAGAGTTGAGAGTCAATCTTGAAGACATTTTACAGAGTATTATGAAGATATCATAAACATGATCATAGTCCAACTGAAGATGAGGAATTAGATGACCATGCTGTCTTTCAGTTTTGTTTCAGATAACTTTGTTGTAAAGTTAGAAGATATTTTTGAGTTGCTGTCATGAAAATACTTAGAAACACTTTCTGGAAGATACATAAACTCTTCAGTAGAAACCATAAGACCAGTATCTTCTACAGCACAGTGGGCGGCAGTAACCATAGCCATAACCACCATAGCCACCATAGCCACCATAGCCACAGCCATAACCACAGCCTAGACCACCATAGCCATAGCCTAGTCCTCCATAGTAGCTTCCATAGTAACACATGGTGTCAAAAAGGACTGCTTAGCTTAGGACAAGCTGTAGGTTTCTTGAGTCTGAATGTCACCATCTCCTAAGGGCCTTTTATATACCTAGGTGTTTGGTGGGGAAAACCACAGGTATTACAATGTTTCCACAAACATCAGCATGCCATGGTTTACTGGACAAACAAATCAGCATATCTGAGATAATTGTGTTCATACACATTTGTTAGGATACCATGGTCAAAGCATAAGACTTTAACATGAAATTCTGGTTCTGTTTTCAGGACTCTGCTTCATTCTATTTTTAGTTTATTTAATAGTTATATGAAACTCCACTGTGACACAATACAAATAATTTAAATAGCTATCTCTTCTTTTTATGTCTGTTTCACAGTACTCTAATACATAAAAGATTTTTATGTCTTCTTTGCTTTGCTTTGCTATTATAAAATAAATGTATCTGGAGGAATGTATTTCCTAAGTTCCCTCATGCAGGATGGACTGGTTATTGTTATATTATTGTTAACTTGGTGACACAATATCTAAATAAGCATATTTTGGTTTTATTTTAAATGTATTCTACTCATATTCATTCTGTCACATATTTTTTTACTATGTTTTGCTAATCCTAGTTGTCCACGAGCATAGGAGATCTATCTATCTTCTGATAACTTCTTCAATTTCTTACTTATATGCCTATTTTGTTATTTTGTTTTTATTACTATGGCTTTGTGGTATAATTTGAAATTAGATTTTGTGATAGGTCCAGCATCTTCCTTTATGTTTATTGTTGTTTGGGCTCTTAGAATCATCTTATGCCTCCATATTTCCTTTAGGATTGTATTGTCTGTCTCTGTTAAAAATACAGTTGGTATTTTGATGGAGATTGAATGAAATCTTCGTATTGTTTCAGCAAACATAGCCATTTTCATGTTGTTAATTCTCCCAATCTACTGGGATGTCATTCCATATCCTAGTTTCTTCTTCCAATTATTTTCTTCACAGAAAATGGATGCTACTAATAATTACGCTAGAAAAATGAGCCAAACTGGGAGAGACAAATGCTGGGCTGGTTAGACGGCCCGTTAGATAACAGCACACACCACTGTGCTTGAAGTCCTGAGTTGGATTTGAAAGTCCCAAAGAGTAAAGCCAGTCTCACATATTTTCCTCTGATTTCCAGATGTGAAATACAGCATATGTTTGTCCTCCAGCCCAACGCAAGTGAAAAAAGAAAATGAAGACATTTTAATAAAAAAGTCACAGATTTTCATGTCTCCAGGGAGAACCCAGTGCTAATCATTCAGTTAAATAAACATACTATTAAAATGACTCCTAAAGACTTACTTTTATCCCCCTAGATTAATATATTCCTCAGTTCACATCAGAGAAGTTTCTTTCAATACATGTCACTTAACAAAGAGATATTCCCCACAAGTGGTAAATTTTCAGATAGCAAAAGAAAATGGAGTTTTAAATCTTAAATTGGACATTCATACCATACTTCTCAAGAAGCCTCAGAGATCTTTGTAGGAGAGGGGACAGAAAGATTGTAAAACTAAGAGCTGGTGAATGACTTCAAGGGACAGGGCAGACAGACCTTTGAAAGCCCAGTGGTTTTGCCATTATGCATAAGAGACAAGCATGCTCCAACTACACAAATTTCCAGCATGGCAGAAGGAGGGAGGTAGAGCACTAGTAACTGAGGTGCTATTAGTGTTTTATACTTGCTGAGAGATCAGTTTTTGTTAATGATGTGACCTCTGGTAAGCTGACCAGACATTAGAGAGGCTTCCTTTTCCAGGAAGCTGGGTGACACAAACCGGACAACGTGAGGGAATCAGAAAAAAAATAGAAATCTCAAAGTTGAGTGGGAAGAGAGATGGTGTCTTAGTTTATGTCCCATTGCTGTGATGAAACACCATGATAAAAAGCAAGTTGAGGAGGATAGGGTTATTTGGGTCAGACTTATATATCACCGAAGGAAGTCAAGACAGAAACTCCAACAGACAGGGACCTGGAGGCAGGAGTTGTTGCAGAGGCTATGGTGGGTCTGTTTACTGGCTTGCTCATCATGGCTTACTCCATGTCCACCATTGAAACTGAGAACCAGCTTCCAATATTGCTGTAGCTAAATCTTTCCATTTTGGGGTATAATTATATCCTGAGTTGTCCCTGAATTTACTCTCTGCTTCTCATGGGGGGATGAACACCATATGAAATGACCACTTCCTTAAAGCTTCTCAAATCTAATCTTTCTATAGGATTCTATTTAACGTCTTCACAACCTTGTGGGTACCTATCATCTCCTGGTCATTCTCTTATAGTAACTGGAAAAGCTAAGGTTGGTTTCCTAATAACCTTGGACTGACCCTCTTCAGTTTCTTCATGCAGTGGCACAGCAGATTCTTGTCTCAATTCTTCTGTCTGTATCTAAGTATTTTTCTCATTTTAATTAATAAGTCTTTCTAAGGCTTGTATCTAATCAGTCAGCTTTTCAAATTTTACACAGTTGTCAAGCAACTTTTTAAGGATAAAATATGAATTACCAGACTCACAGCAATTACAATCAGCATTACGTCAATCCCAGTTAGGTCATTCACCCCCCATTTACTGCTGCCATTTTCAAGCCGTCCAAAGTGGCACTATTCATGCTATCCCAATGCCTTGCATTGCGATATTTCCCCTTCTTAACATGGGAAAAATTATTTTTAGTACTAGTTAATGTTGCCCTTAAGGACTTCCCAGGTCTCTCACCAAATCTGCTGACTTTTCAGGTTGTCTCCAGTAGTGCCAGCAGAGGCAGGACTACGTGCTGGCATGACCTCTGTCCTTGTGGTCCTGCCACATATTGGAGTGCCAAATGTTTTCTAAACTAAATCTTAATATCACAATTTTACCTACACAGACTTGGGCATCAGATTCTGGGATAAAAACCTGCCACCTAGGAGAAGCCAAAGAGTAACCAATTGGCCTTCCTCCTTAGCTGGCATCTCTGAAACAGCTGCTCTTCTGCTGTTCCAAACCAAAACAGCTCTCTTTACTGCTTCCTTTGTGTTGCTCTATCCATTTTCTGGATTCATTAATTCTCTATGGCTACTTTCTGTCGACTAGTTCCTGGCTCTGCCTCTTGATAATTAATCTTTAAAAATGGAAGATGTATGATACAGAGCATGTGGATAAAAGGAACCCTTCTTCTTGGGTGAGAATGTAACTCGGGCAACCATGACAGTAAATAGAATATGGCATGCTTGCAAATACAAAGGAAAACAACAGAAGATCTAGAAGTTAGACTACTGCTATTATAATTATGTTAAATTATTGGATCTTAAATAGGTACACTACCAAGTTTATTGTTACATTGTTTACAATAAGCAAGTTATAAAAACAACCAAGTGTCCATCTGTAGATGACTTCTGAAAGTTTATGTCTCTCTCTAATGTCCTCCACCCTTATTTCCTTCCTTTCCTTCTCCTTCTCCATCTTCCTTTCCTTGACTCCCCTTCCACTTTTCCACAATCACACCACATGTGACCAGATAGATACAAAAGCACAAAGTATATAGAAATTGGTTGGATTGTTTAATCATTTAGTTATTTGATAGTACATGTATTTTAACACAAAAGTTGAGAGTCAAGCTTGAAAAAATTTTACAGAGCATGATGAAAATAGCATAAAACATAATCACAGTGTAACTGTGAAGATGAAGAATTAGATGGCTATGTAGCATTTCAATTATTTTTTAGATATTTTAGTAGAAAGGTAGACTTTTGTGAAGATATTTTGGACTGGCTGAGCATTTTCAGTAAGAAAAGCTGGGCCTCTGCAGAAACTCCTCAGTAGAAGCCATAAGACCAGTGCCTTCTGTAGCACAGTGGGCGGTAGCAACCATAACCATAGCAACCATAACCATAGCCACCATAGCCACCATAGCCACCATAGCCACAGCCATAACCACAGCCTAGACTACCATAGCCGTAACCCAGGCCTCCATAGCAGCTGCCATAGTAACACATGGTGTCAGGAGTAGACTGCTTAGCTTATGAGCAGCTGAAGGTTTCTTGAGTATGGATGTCACCATCTGTCAATGGCCTTTTATACACCTGGGTCTTTGGCGGGGAAACCACAGGTATTATAATGTCATACATGCTTCCTCTGTCTTCAGAAAGCATCAGCATGCCATGGTTTATTGGACAAACAAATCAGCATAACTGAGATAATTGTGCTCATATGTCGGGGTCTCATGGTCAAATCATGAGGTTTTAACATGAGATTCTGTTCCTGTTTTCAAGACTTTTTCTCATTCTGTATTTAGTTTATTTAATACTTAGGAAATTCTACTGTGTCTCCATGGCAGTCATTGAAGCATTACTCTCTCTTTTTATGCCTGTTTGTTTTGTAATTCTCCACAGGTAAAAGGTCTTTGTATTTTCTTTTCTTTTCTTTCTTTAATTATAGAGTAATTCTATCAGGAGAAAGGTATTTATTTCCTTAGTCTTCCTAATTAAAAAATGATCTGGTTATTGGTAACTTAATGATAGTTAATATCTACATAAATTCATTTTAGTTTTATTCTGAATGTATTCCTTTTATACATGTCTTTCAAACTTTGTATGTTGTCTCTTGGGCTATTGTCAATTCTCTTTTATTACTATGGCTCTGTGTTTAACATGAGATCAGATTTGGTGGTAGGTCCAGCATCTTCCTTTCAGCTTTGTATTATTTTGGATACTAGGTTTGTTTTGTGCCTTCACATGATCTTTAGGATTGTATTGTCTAGTTCTGTTAGAACATGATTGGAATTTTGATGAAAATTGCATGACATCTGTACAGTTGCTAAGCAAACACAACCACTGTCATGCAATTAATTCTTGTGACTCCATGAACAGGAAATGTCCTTCCATATCCCAGTGTTTTCTTCTAATCATTTTCTTTACAAAGTTTGGGTTCAACTGCTCATTATGTTAAACAAAATAAGTCAGACTGAGAAAGACAAATGCTGGGATGATGAGATGGCTCAGTACCTAAAGGCACATGACACCCATGCTTGAATCTGTGTTTTCACTAAGCATCCTATAAGGTGGAAGGAGAGGACCCATTTTCATATTTTCCTCTGACTTCCAGGTTCACGATATGCCACATGCATATCTCCCATCCCAACATATTCAGAAAGGATAAAATGAATAAAATCATAATAAAAATAAAAAGCCAAAGTTTTAATAGGTCCTTGTAGAGAACCCAATACTGATTATTCTGTTAAATGGAAATACCATTAAGATGATTACTAATGACTTATTGTCATACCCTTAGATCAGTACATCCCTCAACCTCCTCCTTGTTGGAAGGAGGAGAGAATTGGACTTCCAATAACTTTGGGGTCATTAGGATTTGACATCTTCTGAAAGATCAATTTTCATTAGTGATGTAACCTATGATAGGCTGGCTGCACACCAAAGCAGGCCTCAATTCCAAGACAAGCTGGGCAACACAGATTGGACTTCACGAAAAAAAGTAAAACAAAAATAATAATCTCAAAGTTGGGTGGAAATAAATACAGTAAGGGTAGAAATTGAGGGGATGACTATCTTTTAAAAATTGTATGGATTTTATAATTAATGCATTTTTAAATTAGAAAAAGTCTTTATACTAAAAGTTTAAGAAGAAAGGCAAATGCTGCATAACTTGTGCCATGAACAGAATCTATATTTACATTGTTTGTGTGTGTTTATGGTGTATTTCCATGCACACTTTGACATGATAAATCTTTCAATCAGAAAGGGCACCATGAGACAAGAACATATCAGAGGGATGGGAAAACAAGAGAATATTGCAATACATGAACCATGAAAGCAGAAGAGAGGCAGGGGAAGGCAGGTTATAGTGGGATGAATGAGAACCAAATCAAATGCCCAGTGCATATGAAATAACAACATGAAACCAAGTACAGACTTCTTAAGGCCAGTTGAGTGCAGCAGTTCCTGTGTTCACCTTGCATATCATTTGAAGCAAGTTGGATTGCCAGACCAGCTAGAATGCCAGATTCCTGTTCTAATAACTCTAACTCGATATGTAAATTGAAGAGCAACTGAGAAAGACCTGAACTTTGAACCTTTCCACATTAGCACACTCATACACATGTACCTGTGTACACACATTCACATGAACACCTGTAAAACACACAGAGTTGTCACACACATAAGAAAATGAAATGAAAACAGACAACTTTTCAGATACCAACTAAGAAAGTTCTGAAGAACAGAGCCATTAACTGTATCAAAGAAACTTTATGCAGAGGAAGAAAACAAGTACATCAGGCAGGAGACGAATAAACCAAATTAATATAGGCTATGTATAGCTAAGCTAAACAGTCAAAAGAATATAAACTGATGCCAAAATGAGACAAGAATTAGAACAGACATTTTTCAAATGAAAAGCTACAGATGGACAAGTGGAACTAGTAATGTTCTACCAATAGTGCAGAATGTAAATCAAGATCAAGATGAGATTGCACCCAACAACCATTAGATAACTCTTGTTAAAAAAGATGAATGTTATGCTGGCGAGGCTGTGGGGTAAAGGGAACACTCCTGCATTGTTGGTGGGAATGCAAGCTGGCACACTCCCTTTGGATGTCAGTGTGGTGATTTCTCAGAAAATTAGGAAACAACCTTCCTCAAGTCCCAGTAATACCACTTTTGGGTATATATCGAAAGAATACTCAATTGTGCCACAAGGACATGTGCTCAACTATGTTCATAGCAGCATTGTTTGTCATAGCCAGAACCTGGAAACAACCTAAATGCCCCTTGTCCAAAGAATGGATAAGTAAAATGTGGTACATTTACACAATAGAGTACTACGCAGGAGAAAAAAATAATGATATCTTGAAATTTGCAGGCAAATGTATGGGGCTAGCAAAGATCATTTTGAGTGAGGTAACCCATACACATAAAGACAATTATCACATGAGTGATTATCACTCATAAGTGGTTTTTAAACATAAAACAAAGAAAACCAGCCCACAAATCCCAATCCTAGAGAACCTAGATGACAATGAGGACCTTAAGGGAGTCATACATAGATCTAATCTACATTGGAATTAGAAAAAGACAATGTCTTCTGAGTAAATTGGGAGCATAGGGACCTTGGAAGAGGGTTGAAGGGGAGGGGAGAGACAGGGAGGGGAGTAGAGAAAAATGTAGAACTCAATCAATTAAAAAAAATCAATAAAATAAAATAAATAATATAAAAGAGAAATAAAAGAAAAAAATGAATGTTACAGAGCACATGGATAAAACTTCTCCATTGTTGATGGGAATATAACTTGGTGCAGCCATGACAGAAAATAGCATCTAGCATGCTTGCAAGCCTAGAGGGAAGTGAGAGAATATATCTAGAGGTCACACTACTGTTATTTTAACCAGATTAAATTATTGGATCCTAAAGAAATATGTGCATTGCCAACTTTATTGTTCCATTGTTTACAATATTCAAGTTATAAAAACAACCAACTATCCATCCAAGACCCCTGAAAGGATATGTTTCTCTCTCTCTGATGTCCTCTCCTCAAACCTTATTTCTTCCCTTTTTCTTCTCCCCCTCCATCTTCCTCTCCTTCACTCCTCTCTGACTTTTCCACAACTGCTCCACATGTGACAAACAGATACAAAAGCACAAAGCATACAGAAATTATTTTACACTGTTTAATCTTTTAGTTGCTTGACAATACAAAAATTTTTACACAAAGATTGAGAGTTAAAGTTGAAAATAATTTGCAGATAAAACATTTTTGCAGATAATCACAGTCTGACTGAAGATGAGGAATTAGATGATCAGGTTATGTTTCAATGATTTTTCAGGTATTTTGGCCTAAACTTAGAAGTTTTGAAAGCATGCATGAGTCTCTGATGTGAAAATACTTGGAAGCTCTTCCAGTCAGAAACTCTTCAGTAGAAGCCATAAGACCAGTATCTTCTATAGCACAGTGGGCGGTAGCAGCCATAACCATAGCCACCATATCTACCACATCCACCATAGCCACCATAGCCACAGCCACAGCCATAGCCTAGGCCACCATAGCCGTAGCCCAGGCCTCCGTAGTATCCGCCATAGTAACACATGGTGTCAGGAGTGTTCAGAGAAGCTAAGCAGTAGGTTTCTCAAGTCTGTGTGTCCCCATCTGCCAGAGGCCTTTATATACTTCTGTGTCTTTGGGGAAAACCACAAGTATTGCAACATTATCCATCTCTCTACTGTGCTTCAGAGAAACAGTGCATGTTTTACTGCATTTACAAAGCTGCATACCTGAAGTAATTATGTTCTGTGTCATGAACCTGTGATCAAATCATGGGTGTCAAAATGAGGGTCCGGGTATATTTCCAAGACTCTAGCTTATTCTATATTTAGCTTATTGTGTACATATGACCTGATCCTGTTATATAATGCACATAAAGTAATTGTCTGCTTTTGATATCTGTTTTCTTTAAGAATTTCATAGGTAACTTTCTTTCTGATTTCTTTGTTTTTGCTTGTTTTGTTATTATAGAATACATTGTATCTCAGTGAATAAATTTCCTGGAACTCGCTAATGAAGCATGATCTGGTTGTTGTTAGTGATCTACGTCTTATATAAACATATCATCAGTTGTTGTTAGTGTATTTCTTATACATGTTGATTTTTATTTTCTGGAAAAATTAGTGACCATTTAATAAGTGTCAGACATGGTTTTCTTTGTCTCATGCCTCATATGGTAGTATTTTAGACTTTATTCTTAAACATTTATCAATGAGTTTGGTTTCCAACATCAACTTTTAGATGTTTTTTTTTTTTTTAAATTAGAAGTCGCATTGGTTTTCAAAATGGCACTGCAGCTACAGCGTATCATGTCCCTTCAAAAATTTTTTAGAAGTCCTGGGATTATATCAGTGCTGGAGATTTTGTTTAGCATGAACAAAATAATAGGTGCCACCCACAGTACTGTTCTCCCTAAAAATGTGTCTGAATTCATTAAAAGGG